AATTAATCTGCTCTTCTCACTACATGAAGGATTTACTATGTTTCTAAAGTCTTATTGGTGCAAAGACGAGCATCTCTGCAACATTTGTCTTATTTCGCTATACAGGTGCTGGTCATAAAATTAGAATATCATGAACAAGTAGATTGATTTCAGTAATTCCATTTAAAAAGTGAAACTTGTATATTATATTCATACATTACATACAAACTCATATATTTCAGATGTTTATTTTGTTTAATTTTGATGATTACAAATGACAACAAATGAAAATCTCAAATTCAGCATATCAGAAAATTAGAATATTGTGAAAAGGTTCAAAATTGATGGCCCCTGGTGCCACACTCTAATCAGCTAATTAACTCAAACCACCTGCAAAAGCCTTTAAATGGTCTTTCAGTCTAGTTCTATAGGCTACACAATCATGGGGAAGACTGCTGACTTGACAGTTGTCCAAAAGACGACCATCGACACCTTGCACAAGGAGGGCAAGACACAAAAGGTCATCGCTAAAGAGGCTGGCTGTTCACAGAGCTCAGTGTCCAAGCACATTAATAGAGAGGCGAAGGGAAGGAAAAGATGTGGTCGAAAAAAGTGTACAAGCAAGAGAGATAACCGCACCCTGGAGAGGATTGTGAAACAAAACCCATTCAAAAATGTGGGGGAGATTCACAAAGAGTGGACTGCAGCTGGAGTGAGTGCTTCAAGAACCACCACACACAGACGTATGAAAGACATGGGTTTCTGCTGTCGCATTCCTTGTGTCAAGCCACTCTTGAACCACAGACAGCGTCAGAAGCGTCTAAAGAGAAACAGGACTGGACTGCTGGTGAGTGGTCCAAAGTCATGTTCTCTGATGAAAGTAAATTTTGCATTTCCTTTGGAAATCAAGGTCCCAGAGTCTGGAGGAAAAGAAGAGAGGCACTTCATCCACGTTGCTTGAAGTCCAGTGTAAAGTTTCCACAGTCAGTGATGGTTTGGGGTGCCATGTCATCTGCTGGTGTTGGTCCATTGTGTTTTCTGAGGTCCAGGGTCAACGCAGCCACATACCAGGAAGTTTTAGAGCACTTCATGCTTCCTGCAGCTGACCAACTTTTTGGAGATGCAGATTTCATTTTCCAACAGGACTTGGCACCTGCACACAGTGCCAAAGCTACCAGTACTTGGTTGAAGGACCATGGTATCCCTGTTCTTAATTGGCCAGCAAACTCTCCTGACCTTAACCCCATAGAAAATCTATGGGGTATTGTGAAGAAGAAGATGCAATACACCAGACCCAACAATTCAGAAGAGCTAAAAGCCACTATTAGAGCAACCTGGGCTATCATAACACCTGAGCAGTGCCACAGACTGATCGACTCCATGCCACGCCGCATTGCTGCAGTAATACAGGCCAAAGGAGGCCCAACTAAATACTGAGTGCTGTACATGCTCATACTTTTCATGTTCATACTTTTCAGTTGGCCAACATTTCTATAAATCCTTTGTTTTTATTGGTCTTCAGTAATATTCTAATTTTCTGATATGATGAATTTGAGATTTTCATTTGTTGTCATTTGTAATCATCAAAATTAAACAAAATAAACATCTGAAATATATGAGTTTGTATGTAATGTATGAATATAATATACAAGTTTCACTTTTTAAATGGAATTACTGAAATCAATCTACTTTTTCATGATATTCTAATTTTATGACCAGCACCTGTAATTTTATCACCCTGTTGCAGTTTAAGTTGAAGCAGAAGCTAAAGTTATTTTTTTATTCCTGATGATTACAGCCCTGAAAGTTACATGTTATGCTAAATAAACTTTTTCGAGCTTTAAACTATGCTTTAATGCTGTGCCTCACAATGATATGCCAAACGTTGTATTTTGCTGTATTCATGCAAGTTTTGAGTTCCTCATAAACTCTGCTCTCTGAGCAGTAGCTGCATCTTGTCATCACTGTTCTAGGTAGGAAAGTGTTGACCCACAGCCCAAGGAAGCAGCTCTCTTGACCGTGCTGGACCTGCTCCGTAAACAAAGGCCCATTTTCTCCAACCAGCAAGCAATGATGTGAGGTAGAGCTTAAAGTTGAGATTGTGCTTTTTTTTTTTTTTAAGCAACTAACCTGCATGTTCGATGTTAGAGTCTAACGCTTTCACACCAGACGCAGCAGGAGCAGCAAAATCGCGTCTGCTGCTTCATTTTTGATGCTTGTACCAGTTAGTTCTGACGCGCGGCTGAAGCAGCTTTGCTGCTCTGGCTGCGCGCTGCAAAAGTGGGTCTGACGCGCGTTGGGCGGAGCTACTCTATCCTTTCTCTGCCTTGCAGCTATATTTGCTGTGATCAGTGGGAATAAAGTAGTTTTATTCTGTTTTTAAGTGGGAAAATCCACCTAAAAACTTAATCATTGCAGTCAGTTCATCCAGATTACTATCCTGCCTTCTAATATTATTTCTGTCTGAGCCGCTCAGACCCCCACATAGCAGCGGTGCGCCGACAGTAGGAATCCCTTCATCAGCAGCCTCTGGCCGGGTCGCCTCCTCGCGGTTCACCGCGGCGGCTGGTAGGTTTTTTTCATCTAAATAATCCAAACTGCAGGCACCAGGATAATAAAAGCGAACATATTCTGTCGGCAGATTTCTGTATTTTAAGTTAATTTAGGCGTCAAACTGTTTCAGAGGAGTGATCATAGCGCTCTGTGTCATCAGCGATCTGTCTCTCTCTCTCTCTCTCTCTCTCTCATTCTGCCAGCTCCCAGATCAGCTTCTCTGATTGGTTGATGCGGCGCGTCGAGCAGCAAAAGTTCAATCTTTCCATCTCGAGCAGCGGCCGTTTGGGGCGCGTCAGATGGTAAATGGCATGTACTTATATAGCACCTTTATTCAAGTCAGGAGACTTGACCAAAGTGCTTTACACTACATTCATTCACCCATTCACGCATACACTCACACACAGCTGCTTAAACGCTCCCAACGTGCTGCTTCAGCTGCTCAAAACACGCTGCGGGACCTTTTGCTGCGCCTTGACGAACGTCAACCATTGACTTTGCATGTAAACTCGCTGCTTCTGCTGCGCCTGCTGCGGCGGGTGTGAACGTAGCATAAGTCATGAAAATGTTTTTTTTTTCTAGCTGCAATAGGTCTTAGACTTTCTTCAGGCTTCATACAAAGGTTGTGAATGTTCAGAATAGGGCTGCAACAACGAATCGATAAAAATCGACTTTTAAAAGCGTTGGCAACGAATTTAATCATCGATTAGTTGTGTCGCGCGATTAATGCGTCATCCGCCGCCTCCGTCATCCGGGGGAAGAAAAAAAAATATGGCGGAGCGAGTCAGCGCCGCAGTTGCAGTGTTGCCAACTCAGCGACTTTTCAGACCCCTCCGGCGACAGTTTTTCAAAAAAGCGACTAGCGACAAATCTGGTGACTTTTTACAGTGTCACTGGCGGCTTTTGCCTGCCGTGGGGCGCCTCCCCCATCCCAACCCCTTTCTCCCTCTCCCACAGGAATCCCTCTCAGCGCTGCAGGCAGAGCCGCAGGATGTTTACCCTCAGCGTCCAGACTGCAAATGAAGCGCGCATGCGCCGGGATTGACGGCGCAAATTGATCACAATAATAAAAATAGCCTGCGCTTTGTAAAGTGAAAAAAGTCGTAACAGGCAACTTTTGTAAAAACAAATGAACATGGCACGGGAGCCCCACTGTTATGATGCAGCACATGAAATGAAAACACTTTGGAGCCTTCAATGGCAGTGAAGAGAGCTGATCAGCAGGATGAGCGACCATGTTTGTTTGGTTTTAAAGTGGGGAAACGTAACGTTAGTTTCTCAGGTAGCTCATCTGATGCTTTCCTTACCGTGTTAGTAGGTTACAGACAGGGATAAGGTTGGCTACTTATTTTACTTATAATTTCATTTGAATTAGCTTAAGCAGCGTTTACATTTACTTTATAAATAAATTCACTTGCAAATTATGAGGGCAAGGCTTTTAAAGTTTAAATCTTCTGGCAAAAATAAAGTAAAGATCCTGCAATTTATGGAAGTAAAGCAGAATAAAATCCAGCAAGATCAGTAATATGTCAATTAATTATCTGCCACATTCCCATGTAAATATCTGTCTTTGGAGGATGTGTTTTTTAGCACCCCTAGTTCTCTCATTTTCATTCCAAATACAATTTATAATTTGAATCACAGGGCTATTTTTATCTCTATGGTTAAGTATTTTCTCAAGCAGCAACTTTAACTGCTATACTTTCCTGTCTTAAAAGGCAGAACTCTTCTAGTCTAAAAAAAACCTTATTTGTTGAAATGGGGGGGCCTATTGTTTGAGCCCCTTAGGGGCTTTAAAAAACAAAAATGCCTGTCTCTTTTTGCGCTTTATGAAACAAAGTACCCTATATTTTGTGGATGTACAGCTACATTTCTCATGTAAGTTTGCGTAGTTTTAACACAAACATTTATTTTTCATATTGCACCAGTACAGTTAATGAGCAACCTGTACTTGTGTGCTTGTTTGTTCTGTCTAAAATGTTTCTTTTGGAATAAAGAGGTTAATATAAAAAATATTTTTTGTCCGATTCATCGATTAATCGAAAAAATAATCGGCCGATTCATCGATTTTTAAAATAATCGTTAGTTGCAGCCCTAGTTCAGAAGTAGCCTAATAGAGCTTGATGAAATGGACGGCACCAATATTGCAGAGAAACAGCTAGGCTTTGAATGTATTTTTGTTTTCTTAAAACGTTGAAAGAAAACAATATTTCACAACAAATGAATACTCTATAGTGCAAAAGGAAATATTTCATTATATGTGCCAATGGCCGACTATGGACTTTTTGAATACGCATAACATTGCACCTTTAAAGAAATACTGGAATCATCAGAAATTCGGAATGGTTGGTTGTACCTTTACAAATTTAGAGTTCTGGGTGTTACAGGACAAACCTTTCCAAAACAGCACTATGGCTGAGAGACATTTTATGTAGATTTATAGATTATTGCACAAAGATTTCACTTACTTCAATGATTTTCAGAGGTGCTGGATAAAGTCCTTTGCTCTGCTTCATGACTTTACCATGAACTGTTTTATAAATCTGATTCCGCACAAACTCGAAGCTCATCACATAGTCTGTAATTTCTGTTAACAGAGATGAATGACATTTATAATGAAAACCAACAGTAGTGACCAAAGATTTAAACAGTAAATGAAGGGAAGGAAGTTACTTTGCATCATGTTTTTCTCTTTCTGAAGAGCGATCTTTTTGTTGACGATCCCTCTGGCACATTCAACAGCAACTTCTTCTAAGTACTCTATCGTTCTCTCTTCTGGACCTTTCAGTCCAGGCCCTGCAGCATGGCCAAAAACAATGTTAAAAGTAAACGCTTATAAAACACAAAACTTCGTTTAACTTTTTTTTTTTTAAATGTGGCTGAAGTCAGTTATTACCTAGTGGGTCTACAAGCTGGTGAACAAGCCCCATCTTCTTGGCTTTATCTGCTTTGATGTTTCTCCCTGTTAGCATCATGTCAAAGGCGCTGGGAAGACCAACCTAAAGATTAGAGGAATGGCAGATATTTGCATACTGTTAAACCAATACTAAATAAAAACTACTCAATACAGAAATAATAAATCATATTTATTACACTAATTTTTTGTTAGGAAAAAAAAGAAAAAAGGACTTTTCTAAGATTTAATGCGCAGCAACCTGAGCTGTCATTAGAAAACCTTTTTAAATCATTGGTTTGCAATTTGATCTCCTGGACCTCCAGGAAGAGGGGAAACACCAAATCTGGGTGTTCAGTAACAACTGAAGTGTTTCTAAGCTTCCATTTTAATTCTTCCTCTGCTTCTCTGACGTTCAGATCCGTCCTGCACTTAGATTTCTTGGGTTGACGCACAGTGAGAAGCACAAAATAAAACTAACCACAATTTAAATTTGATATTCAAAGCACTAAAGGTATGGAAGACAAAAACTTTTTTTTAATGGGTGTTTTGCACCAGTGAAGCACTGGAACTGCCTGGAATACAAACTAAAACTATTTATCAATAGCCATCAGGGCTCGATGTTAACCATCGCCCGATCTCCTGGGGCAAGTAGTTTTTATTGTTGGGACAGTACAAATTTTATTGCATTTGCCCGCCGGACAATTGCAATGATCGTAAAAAAAAAAATTATTTACCCCTCAAAATTACTTTAAAATCACCGACATTCAATGAAACGAACCAGAAGCATTGCCGGTGCCTTTTTTGTTGTTTTGTACACATTCTCGCGTGATTTGAAAAAGCCGGGTGATGTTCCGCAAGATGGCATGATTTTTGTCCACCTTGCGGTAATTTTGATGTAGTTACCAAAATGACAAACAAGCTAGAAAGCGCTACCATATGGCAGTCTTCTGTACAGTGATGCAGGACATACATTAAAAAATGTTCATTACATTCTTTTCTCTTAAGACATTGAAGAGGTGCATTTAAATGTTTTAGAGCTAAACATGTTAGATTGGTGACCTGTTATGTTATTATTATTGTCTTGTTGCTGCATTTATTTTGTCAGAGAAAACTAATCCTGAGTCAGTTAAAAGTCAGGGAATTCTGAAATGATGTCAGACTGTGGAAACCCTGAATAAAATAACTATGTATAATGATTCTCTAGAAAAGTCACATTATATTAATAGTATTATCTTGTATAAACATACCATGACTCTAAAATAAAAGTTATTCATTTGTGACATTGACTTCTGTCTTGTGATTTATCTTAAGTTTTAAGTTCAAAGTTTAGTTTGAAAAGAATGTGCAGGAAGGATTGAAAAGCATGTTAACACGGTAATGTAGGCTTGAGTTCATTATCTGACGCATGCAGATACACACCAGGAACCTGGAAATTTAAAAAATACTGAATTACAAAAAACATTTAAAAAACAAACATGTTTCATTGACATATATACAAAAATGAATATTAGGAACTATATTTATCAAACATTATACTGGGCAAGTAAAAATTGTTTCTGGGCAAATGAAATGTGAAAGTCACTTGCCCTTTGGGCAAGTGGTAAAAATCCTTAACGTCAACCCCTGGCCATGTTTCCATTCAACTGAAATTCTAATTTTTCAAAAGTTCAAAAATTGTGCAGTGTTTCCATTTGATTTGAAGCCAATTAACCAAGCACTGCCACGGCGTCCTACGTCGTCTTCCACAATGCGTCGTTACACATTGCTGTAGTAAATAGGAAGCAGAGGCTGCAATCTAGCAATGACCACGGATCAGTGATGGAGGAAAGTTTAAATGAACGTATTGCTATCTGGTAAGTTGTTCTTTTGTTATCATGCCTGCTAGTAATTGTGATGCTGCTTCCAGCCATGTTTAAGTGCGTAACAGGAACAATCTAGGAAGACGTGGACACAGAAGCAGCTTATCTTTCATGCGAGTAAAAGTTTGCTACATCAGGCCTGATTCCAAAAAAGTGTTTCCATCCACCGTTTTGCAGAATAACTATTTTTCCACAAAAAACATAAACCACCTCAAGCGAGCATAAAAACTTTTTTTGGAAACGCACCTTCTGAGAGGCAGATGTTTCTTGAGCGCCTCAATGAAACCTTAATAAGGAAAATCTATGAATTTATTAGGAAACATCAAGAAAAACATTTTCTTAAATTGGAGTTTTTGATTAGTTGATGCCCATTTCTAATTGACTAGACAAAGTGTTGTAGACTAAATAAATCCTTATTATGATGTTCCAAAAACTATTTACATCTCTACCTAGTATCTTCCCATTTGTTCTATTTATTCTAACTACATTTTGAATGCTCCATCTTTAAAACCAAAAATAAAGAAAAGGTAGAAAAATATAAAACTAAAAAAATTGTGTTGCTTCTTTGTTTTTCTACCATTTACTATTTATTAACTACCATATATTAAATAAAACTTTCTGAAATAATAGGGTCAGCGGTAGGAGGGTAAAGGTAAACACGAAACAAGATTACTTTGTCCCTCACTCTCTTCAATGTTGCCTGTGATTTAAATACCTTTTTTCCTGCCTAAGAAGCCAAATATTAAAAGTTCAAAGGCTAATTTTACTAACACCGTATTTATTCAAAAGTGCTTCATAAGAGTAATATAAAAACAAATAAATGTATAGAGATTGTCTGAACTTTCCTGGACAAAAGTGTTTAAATATAGACCAGACAGGCTGAAGGATAACAGCTGAACACAAACACTTTAAACTACTTATGACCATCGAAGAGAATAATCCTCATGCTCTCTATCTTAAAAGGTTTACGGTTCTCAACAAAGAAAACTATTAGTACTGGAATCTTTAAATATCATGTATAGTTAACAGACATTAACTTAATTGTAAAATTTCTAAGAAATCAATGTGTGATGCAAACTAGAAATAAGACAACATTGTTAAAGACAAACCATTTTAGGTAGTCTCTGTGTGCCTCCAGCTCCAGGTAGAAGGCCGAGCATAACCTCAGGTGTGCCAAGAACAGTCTTCTTGCTTTTTGTTGCAATTCTGTACTGACAGGCAATGGCAAACTAAAAAAGAAAAGAATAAACGATTATAAATCGATCCATTTCAGATAACACATCTGCAGTTTAAAGCTCCTTTACCTCCAAGCCTCCTCCTAAACATGAACCATTGATGGCAGCAACAACTGGTTTAGGAGACTTTTCAATACGCTCAAACATTTTCTGTCCTTCCTGGGAGAGTTTTGTTACCTCCTCTGCAGTGTTGCAGGCCTGGATCATACTGAAATGAACATGGGTGTTAATTTCAAAGCTGTATTATCAATGAACAGAATCTCTAGAAGTATCACAGGGCTAGTACTTAACAGTCATTAACCACTTCTACAATACATCCGTGACAGGATCCGGCCATCTGGGATGTACGAATCTATAATCAATTGTTTTTTAAACAAATTTGATCAATTCATCGCTTTACTTTTATAGTAAAAATACAAAAATATGGAATTTAAAAAAAAAGAAAAACAATCCACTGGAATTTGTTTCCAAGTTTGAAGATATTTCACTTCCCATCCAGGAAGCTTTTCCAATTCAATTCAAATCATTTTGAAATGAATCGAAAAAGCTTCCTGGATGGGAAGCGTAACGTCTTCAAACTTGGAAACAAAGTCAAGTGGATAGTTTTAATTTTCTTTTTTATGGAATGACTACAACCCAGACGACTGATAATCTTCACCAGCATAAATATGGAAGTGGTTTTTAGTACCGATAAGCAAACAAAGGAAAATAAAACCAAGGCCTTTTTATCCCCTCATGCACATGCCGTATCTACATCAATAGGTTCAAACAGCCGAAAAAGTGGTCTCAAGAAAAAAAAAAAAAGATTAATGTGATTCAATTACTTAATATCAGCTCCAGCAATGAAGCATCCTGGCTTTGAGGAGATGAGAACAGCACTTTTAACAGCCTCATTGGCCCAAACTTCATCCATTACTTCAATCATCTCCTTTTGCATCTGAACTGACAATGTGTTAACCTAGAAGTAGCCATAAAGAAAACAAGAATTACATTTCATCTGCATATTCCACAGATGTGCAGTTTAGAATTAACTTTGTCAGAGTTCAAACCTTGGAGTTTGGGTCATTAATCCGTATGACGGCAACATCATTCTTCACTTCATAACTAACATGAGTTCGGGCTGAAATCAGACAAGAGGAAACAGAATTGTTTAAACAGAACCAGGGTGAAATTATTCAAACATGCTGAGTTTATGAAAAAGAAATATATATATTACCAAGCATGGCAGGAGCTACTGAGAAGGTGCGAAAAGCACTGCCTGCAAAAGGAAACACATTTAAAATGGTCAAACAGTTTCAATTGCATTTGTTAGGTATGTTACTCTCAATAAGTCTGTCGCTTCTGTTTGTTAAAGTGCAAAAAGTACTACGAGTGGGGTTGTATATCTTCTTCCAGCTTTTATTGTCATTACACTGTCAAAAATACAGAGCAATGAAATTAACTCTCTGCATTTAACTCATCCATCCGGTTCACGGTTTCGTGGTCACGGTTTTCGGTTTGGTTCGGTATATGTTGATTTTTTAGCCTGACATGTTGGTCGTTTTGCTGTTAGCATAAACAAAACGTGTTGCACAATGCTCGCACACTGTTGCACTTTTATCCACAACTTTCTTTCCGCCGTCATCGTAGGTCACTCTAAATGCAAAGTGGTCCCATACAGCAGACCTATAAAGTGCTGCTGGCGCGTCTTCCAACTCTTGTTCTTTCCCACTCGCCATACCCACACAATTCTCCACAACTGATTTTTTTCTGCTACACCCGGGTACGCTGCTTTGCTTCTTCTTCTTGTTTACTACTGGTGTTTGGCTTTGATCACGTACCGCCACCTTCTGCTCTGGGGTGTAAACGCTTCGCCTATGAGAAAAAGGAGCAGCGCATGAACCAAACGCAACACACGTGAATGGAACCGAGACAGTCGAACCGAACGGTTCGGGCGGTTTTCATAAACCGTTCCGTCCCTACTTTGGGGAGCAGTGGGCTGCCATTGTGCGGCGCCCTGGGAGCAGTTTCGGGTTAAGGTTCTTTGCTCAGGGACCCAGAGTGTCAGTCTATGGGAGTGGGGCTTTAACTCAGCACCTCTGGATTCCAAGTGCAATGCCCTAACCACTAGGCCGCCATTTAACATATCGACTAGAAAACTGACATTGACTTAATTGTACAGATACAGTTTTATATTCTTAAACAATTCAAGTAAGATTGAAGTACGTTTCATGCAACAATATTCTTTGCTTCTATTATCAGTTATTGAGTATATATAATTTTTCATACAAACAAAAAATGAATTTATGGCTAGGTGACATTATATGAGTCAGTTAGGTGATTATTATTTAACTAGCCACTAAAAGCGGGGAAACATATTTAGCCAGAAGAACAGCAAGAAAAAAAGCTTGGAAATATATTTAATTTCTGAAATTTTGCAAATTCTGTTTTAGCTGATAATTCCTGAATATTAACCCTTTACAGGGCAGCCCTTTTTTTTTTATCACTAGCATACCCCTTACAAATGGAATCCCCCCTGTCCCTCAGTGAGGTCTAGAAGCACCAGATCTATATCCAGCCATTCAGCAAAGATACTGCTACATTACTTTACATTTTATTTTGACTTTTGACCAATTAGATGAGCCCTTGAATGATATATTACCTACTGTGAATTAAGTAGAAAGAAAGTTAAAAAGTCAAGAAAAAAAATTAAAAACATAATTGAAAAGTTAAAAACTAAGGTTAAAAAGTTAATAAGCCTTGTTAACAATTATATTTAGGTTTATAAACTAAAATCTCAGTGCCAATATCAGCATTATTGCCTCTAAGGTTATGTTGTATAAAAAAAATGTGTTTCTTCACTCTGTGTTTTTCATGAATTTTTTATAGAAGCACTTTTGCTATTTTTCTTAATATATTCAGGCAAGTTGGCATTTCTTGTTATTATATTGACATTAATTGTTGCCACCAGAAAAAAATATATTTTTTGAATGTTACAAAGGAAATAACACTATTGGTTGGAAAATTTGATTTTCAAAGGATTTCACTGAGTGCCCTATAAAGGGTTAAACGAAGGAAACTGAACATTTAACGTCTCAAAATGCTGATATTTTCTTACTTTTTAGCATACATACACACTCTTTGAGTTAAAATTTCAAACTGTAAACAAATAATTAACAATCAGCTGTTATAAGTTGTATATCTGCATTTATTCTTGCACCTGTATCCAATCAGCCCCTTTTAAGGAAATGTAAAACATGATATAGTTTATAATAATTTACTTTATAGAAGTCATTGTGAAATATATGCATGAACTGTTTATGAGACGTTTAGGTTTGACTGTCATGACCTCAGGTGGTCTAAGCTATGCTATGCGAGTATGACCCTTCACCTAGATTCTCCGCCTAGTGGCCATAAAAATGGCAAATGAATGGTAGTGCGTTCAAATCCAGCTCAAAAGTATCCACTTAAAGTCTTTTATCCTCGCTGTTCCACAACTGTATTTAACATCTAGAAAGTTAAGAAATGATTCCCAAATATGGCTAAATTTACACAATGGATCTTTGTACCGTTAAGCTAGTTAGCACTAGAAGATTTGATCAAAAGTTTGCAAAGACGTTATAAAAATACCTGCGTACAATTTCTGTATAAACCCTCATATAAGTATATCTAGTTTTGAATAACAAATTGAGCGTGTTGTGATATGCAACTTCATACAATTCTCTGGAGCTGGTTAGCAGCTAGTCATACAGGCTAATTATTCAACTTGGACAGCTAGCAGAGTCTGGTATCACCAAAAATAACTACTCGTAAGGTTTTTGACTTCGACATTTGGGAAAAACCCGGTGTACTCCACCTGAGAAAAGAGCATATCGTGCCGTTGACAATCTGGAGAGAACACCAAGAGCTCGAACACCAGCCATGTTGGGAGCGGAGGTCAGTCTGTGGGAGCTGAGTGATGCTAACTGAACTTAGCTTGCTCACTGTCAAGGTACCATTTACTGAACTTCCTGAGACGGATCCATCTGGCAAGAAGCTGATTGGCTATTGTTTAAACCTAGAAGCTGATTGGCTATTGTTTAAACCCAGAATCTGATTGGTCTATTTCCCAACGTCCAACTTCACTGGATTCTTCTTCTTCTTCTTTTCTATTATGGCGGATCGCAAGCAACTTTAAGGTGCATACCGCCACCTACTGTACATGAGTGTGTAGCAACATTACCTTACATCAAATTCTATTTTTTTTATTTTGTATTCTGTACATAAATAAACAATGCTTTCCTTAATCTGTGAATATCTTATATATTTCCTTCATTTCCCAATATTCCTTTCAGACTCCATTCTTGGCCTGTCCTTCCACCCATCCTTCTTGATTTTTCCCTTTCATGTTCATAAGTTTTACAGTTCATCAGTACATGTTCTACATTTTCTTTGTCTCCATATCCTGCACATTCATCATAATTTTTCCTCCCTATTAAATATAAATTTTCATTTAAATAGGTATGACTCTTAAACTGATCATTATTACTTCCTCCCTTCTGTTTCTCTAATTAATGATTCTATTTAATACTGATTTTTGTGCCTTATATAATCCTCTTCCTGTCTTATCTTCATTCCACCACTTTTGCCATGTTTCCATTTCTTTACTCTTAATAAGTGATTTACCTTCCCCTTTCCCAAAAGTACTTCGTTGGATGCTGTCAAGCTGGCTTTTTAAGGTCGGTATTATTTAAATGTTGTTCAATCCCAAAATAACTTTATTATAACTCGACCATAGCTGTAGTTTTACTCAACTTTATGTTGCTTCAGAAACGTTATTTACAACATGTATCATTATTTACGTATCTATCATATTTTTGTGGTTGTGAATAATAATAGTTTTGTGCAGTTGTTTGACATTGATTGTTTATTTGTGCAATTTTAAAGCTTGTCAGCTTCCCGTTGACAAAAGAAATGTATAATGATACACAATCTATTGTCGATGGTAAGTTCCTTCTTCTTTCTCTCCTCATCAACACATCTTACTTCTTCACTACATACATCACTATGAGTAATAACACGGTCATGTGCAATACTAGTAATTTAGGTGAGCAGCATTGTAAAATGTAAACAGGGGTGGATTTAGGAAATTTGGGGCCCTAGGCAAGGACAGGCAGGGGGCCCTCTGAATTGAGAAGACAACACATTAAACAGACCCATTATACAGATACAGAAATTTTGATAGAATAGACATACATTATTTGCTCTAGGTTTTGCCCCTCTCTTTTTGTCCCTTTTCTTTTTTTTCCTCTCTATGTTTTGTACTGACTTTTCATGCTGTCTCAATAGGAATGAAACTAAACTCACTAAGCTGATTGCTCCTTCCCGTGTTTCCAAAAAGGCAACAGCAGAAGTAAATAACCCAGTTCCTTCTTTTCACTGTAGACAAGTCATGATCTACTTATCTGTTCTCTATTTTTCATTTGGATGAAATAATAGCTGCATGAATCATGACAGCAGACAAGAGGAGAGCAGGAGGCGGGGTTACCAATCTTCTTGCTCTGGAAAGCAGAGTTCCCTGCTTTTATATCTTGTTGTTAAAGTCTCCATTATACATTTGGCGCTAGATGCTTTTTTTTTTTTTTTCTTTTAATAAAAGCGCTAGAGGGGTCTGAAAAGTCACTGAACACACCTGTGCCTTAGACACACTTAATATTATAAGCATTCTGATGGCGTTTCAACTAAGGGATTTTTATCAAAAACATATTAATGTGCAATAATAGGCAACTGCTTAGTTTTGTCTAATGGTAAATCTGCCCCTTAATGTAAATACTGTTGATTGTATATACTGAAATCCTTATCTTATTTTATTATTCTCCTTATTTTATTCCCATATCTTATTTCACACTATTTTCTGGCGAAAATTCTCAGTGGTTTGTGTTTTAACTTTTCTGAATCAGTTATATGGGAAGAGACTAATTTTACTGTGTGGGTTATAATCTTACCAATTTTATTCTGTCTTATTATATTTTATTTTGCTCTATTGTACTTACTTGCTATTGTGCTGCAAGAAAATAATTTCCAGCAAGGGATTAATAAAGTAATTCCGATCTCTGTTTTACCAGTCAACCAATGTTGCTTCTGTTAACTACACATATGTGAATATTTGTCCCCTATGTTTAGGCTGTTTACACTCTTTTATTACAGCGTAAATAACAGTCAAAAGTTATTAAAAAGCTTGTAAATATGTTGTTTATGCTTTTGCATATTTTAATCAAATATTTGTTTGTAAATGGCAATGATTAACTGTAACTACAGTATTCTGCCACATGGTGGAGTTAGACTTCCTCTGGGTTAACAGAGCTCAGTGACTAGATACTATTCCAAATGCAAAGCTTAAATAAAGTGTATTACTTAAAAAAATAAGAAGAATCTTTTTGTTTTGTTTTGTTTTTAAATATAGTAAAATACTACCTACAGTTGTGCAATATTTTGGAGACTATCGTTTCAACAATGATATGTCAGTGTGTTGTTTATAGAAACTGATTTAGCTCTGCATCATAACATATCAGCATATTTAGTGCATGTAAATATTTGGATCTGCTGTTTATGGAGGGGAGCAGAATTTAAACTGTTCTTTAAATCAGCAGTTACTTATAGCAATGCAATTAGTTTCTTATATCCCTATTCTGCAACAATCCTAAATGAAGTGGACTCCTCTGGTGAAAGGCGAGTCACTTTAGAGTATTTCTGATTTCATACTCTGATTATTCAGAAGGACAGAGGAACTGTTCTTACCTCGTCTAACAGGAACTGATCCCTTTCATGATATGCTGCCTTTATTGCTTAATATTCACTGTGTCCGGAGTGGGGAAACATTTCAGATCTATTTAGTAATATGTAAAAGAAAATTCTGAACACTATGCATTGCTATTTGTAAGTTATAATTTACCTCTTTATTTAGTTTTTTTTATAAGAAAGCACTACTTTCTTACTTAAGCACATATCTTCAACTGTATAGTTCACTTAATATCTTGTGAGAACATCGAAATACAGACTGAAAAAAATGTGTGAAATATAAAGTGTGTTTTGAACTGTTTTATAGAAATATTATAAACATATTTTTTGTGAATTTTATAGAATAAGTCTATTTCTAAGGGAAATTTTGAGGTTATAACCCTTTAAATTGGAGTGTACGGGGGTATTTGAAAGCAGCATTTGTCATTTGTGGAAGGCGGGACTTAATGCGACTGTAAAATAAGTATCCAATCAGAGGCTAGATATTTCCATAGCAACTCCAATCAGCGATGAGGGACTGTCTCATTGGGAAGGTAGTGGTCGTGGTTAGTTGCTGCTAGAAGACGCAAGTGCTTCCTCCAGAGCTTCCCCGCGGCCGGGGCTTACAGAAAAAAAAAAGATAAAATATATAGACTTATTTATCCGTCAAGCTCACCGTGGGCGACTCTTTTCTGCTTTTGCATGATAATTCCACAAACCAGTCTGAAAGACGAGCCTAATCTCCTCTGAACATAATAGGGACACGAAATTACAATGCCATCCCCAATGGAGGGATCTTCCAGAGAAGGTGACCTGTTTACTGTGAAACATGAGCTGAAACATGGTAAGTAAACTGTCAGCCTGCTGAAACTTAGCGCAGTATAATGTAATTTGGAGTCATATACGTATATATTTAATGTATACAGACGTCACAGGAGAAATGATTCCAGGTTAGCTTGCAGGAGTCAACTGTCACTGTCAGTTGGGCGTTTGAAGTGAGCGCTAACACGAGCGTCGACGTTACTTGGAAATAGCAGAAAGACTAAAGATGTCCCGTTAACGCTGCTGAAACTCATGCAAACTACGGTTATCTATGCGGGTTAAAAACTGCAGCTAACTGCTAACCACGGTGTTCCTATTAGCTTAAACTGATACTTGTATCAGAGCAAGCATCAATACTGTACTAAGTTTAACACCTTCAATATAACTTGTTATGTATTAGCAATTAGCATTAGCAACTAAAGTACAAAGACACAAATAATGGGTTATTTTTATTCAATTAAATGATTAAGACAGTATAACTACACCTATAAGCTCCACTGTAACTAATCATGAAGCCAACTCATGGTGAAAAAATTGATATTTATCTGAAACATAATATACCTTAAGGTTAAATTAGATAAGAAATATGTTTTCATTAATCTTGTGCATTGTTATCTTGTCACAGAAATAGGTCTAAACAAGTAACAACACATACAATAAATAAATAAAAGTTGTTACTGTCATGGTTGCCTCAAACACTTCCATCTTCAGTGTAAATTATGTTGGATTTATTTTACAATTAATTAGTATGTAGTGATGTCATTTGCCATTTGTTAAAAGGTGGTATGGTCCTATTACATTAACTGTAAGATGATGTCATGGTTTCTTGGTAACTCACAGTGTTAATATAAACATTTTGAGGTAAATTGTTATCTAGAATATTGTGTTTATAACTAGAATAGGCAAAGTTTATAACAACTGATCCAAGATATAGGTGTGATAAAGTTGTCTCTGATGTATATTGATGGGTTGTTTTCATGTGACTGGATATATTTCTAAAAAGCCCGTTAAAGGAATAGTACACCCAAAACATGATTAGCCTTCATTTTCTACTCACCCCCATGCTGAACAACACTCTGGAGTACTTTTTTGATATCTCAAATGCATCTGGAGATCTGGGAGGCTTCTTGCTGTCTGCTGACATTCAAATAATGGAGGTCTATGGCGCCCGAGACAGAAAGGTCCATAAAAGTCCACAAAAAACGTTTCAATATTCCTCCATACTGCTCGTCCAATGTATTCCAAGTGTCCTGAGTGGGTAGCACCAAGAATTTACTCGAAACGAAGTCATTTAGAATGTTTTTAGAGCATAAACAGTAGTGTATAGGATTTCCTGAAAGCGCGCGCCTGCGCGATCACGACGCTACGGAAGCCGGCAGACCAAACCAGCGCATTCAGCTCGGCAAAGAACTCATGCTCTTCCTCAACACTGAAGTCCTCAGACATTTTTCTTTCGTGGTTTCTTTCTTTGCACAGGTAAACAGCACATTTCTTCTTCTACGCTTGCATTATTGGCAGAGCAGACGCTGAATGCGCACTTTCGTCTGGTTTGGTCTGCCGCGGTTTCCGTAGACTCGTGAACGCGCTTTTAGGAAATCCTATACACTACTGTTTATGCTCTAAAAACATTCTAAATGACTTCGTTTCGAGTAAATTATGGACGCTACCCACTCAGGACACTTGGAATACATTGGACGAGCAGTATGGAGGAATATTGACACGTTTTTTGTGGACTTTTATGGACCTTTCTGCCTCGGGCGCCACAGACCTCCATTATTTGAATGTCAACAGACAGCAAGAAGCCTCCCAGATCTCCAGATGCATTTGAGATATCAAAAAAGTACTCCAGAGTGTTGTTCAGCATGGGGGTGAGTAGAAAATGAAGGCTAATCATGTTTTGGGTGTACTATTCCTTTAATTATGTTCATTTTGATTCATAGACATTATCTAAGCGTTGTAATTAAAAGTTGCTACCACACAGAATATTATCCATAACTATCTATTTTTTTTGCAGTTCCCATCTTTATTGAGTAAAGCTGTATAATCAGCAGGTTTGATGATTGGACTTTTTGCTCAGTTGTCCCACCTGCAGTTGGCAGGGTAGCAGAAATGCTGCTTAGAGCTTTCAAACTGCAGCATTGCCTCCACACTCTGTCCTCTTATGTTGCTCATCATCAGAGGTATTTCCAACAAGCTGATTTTGATGTGGAGTAGCCTTCTATTAGCCTGTTGCTGCAGTGTACTAAGTAGGGATCAAAGTTTGTTCTTCTATGTTGCATACAGACAGAGATAGTTGGAAGGATGTAGAAATGTTATCAGTTGTGAAACTAGCTTTTTTCTAAAACCTGACTTAGGCTGATACCAGAAACCAGCTTAATGCCAAGAGAATTGCGCGGGAAATACTTTTCAGACATTTGGTGTTAGGCAGGAGCTATAACAGTCCAAAGTGTTTGCAGCTTGCAGTTCCTTCTGCTTACAATAATAGTAGTCACAGATTAATTACACATTGCATTGACATATATCAGTAATGCATGTGCAGATTACCGCCATTTAGTGCAGGCAGCTGCACCTTGAAGTTTTACTCTTGAGTTGCAACGCTTTTATAATGACAGTGTTTCTGTTCAAGCTGCAACATGAATCTGCTCCTTTACTGTCCTGACTGAAGCATGCAGTGTATCTAGTTGTCAGTGAGCCCAGCTTAATGTGTTTCACTTGATTTGAAATTAAAGCTACAATGACCACAACTTAAAAAGGAAGTGAAAAAAACACGTGGTTGTATTCAGAGCTTACAATTTCTAAGCAAGATTTTCACATATATATATATATATATATATATATATATATATATATATATATATATATATATATATATATATATATATATATATATATATATATATATATATATATATATATATATACATATATATATATAAAAACTGGTATTTACTAGATTTCTGTTTTGGTTGATCCTTTAGAGAACCAGCCTTCTATATATACTTTTTTTTGTCTTTCTAAGAACCTTCCCCTCCTGTAATTTGAAGACGTTCCTCTTGACCTCGCTGCAAAGCATGCTCTGGTTGGACGTTTCTGTCGGTCTATTAATAACCACAAAAATCAAACTTGGCCTTGGCAGGGCGAGCTTGACAAGGAGGTTATGCAACCAGAATCCCTGACCTCAAATTTGAAGGACGGCACTGTTGTTTTCGAACAAGTTATGATGCATTTAAATATTTAAATGGTGCTTTTTATTCCTGCATCTAAAAAGAAGGGGGAAGGGAAGTCAGTTTAAAAAAAAAATCTAATTGGCTGGGTCAATTGTTCAGTCGCCCATTTTCAAACAGTGAGACAGAAGGAATGCATTCACTACAATGGGCATGCATATCTGACAGCATGCCATGCTCAGTCAGCTGTACTAGGAGGCTGTGACTAAGGAAGATGTGTAGAGTAACTGGAGGTGGTTTGCTGGATTCACTGAAGCTCTTTGATGGGATTAAAGGATGAATGTCTCAGCAGGATCTTGGAAAAAGTCATCCATGCGTTTATCTGTTGTCTAATTGATTATTGCAAAGGTGTCCGCGAAGGATTGCCTAAAACGTTCAATCAGACAGCTAAAGCTGATCTAGTTGATCTGCGTCCTTGTTAAAAATACTAAACTAGATCACATCAGAGCAGCTCTGAATAGACTTTAAAACTCTTTTAAAAGTCTATAAATCACTAAATAGCTCAGCAGCAAAATACGTAACAGACTTGTTGCTGTATCAGCCCTTCAGAGCCCTCCGGTCGTTTGGTTCAAACCTGTTCTCCATCCCTAAAATTGGAAGCAAACAAGAAAAACATTCAGTTCTTGTGCTCCACTTATCTAAAACAACCACCCAGAAAACTGCAGTGTTGCTAAGACCCTGATTTCTTTTTAAACCGCAAAAGTAAACACTATTGATTTTTAGCTCATAGTCCAACTTTTCTATGCCTTCATTTATGTCTCTGCTATGAACTTATGCACTTTGAATTGTGTTGCTGCTACAGTGTCCTATACAAATAAACCTGCCTTGCATTGATGACCTTTAGCTATCTAAGCCAGCATTTTTGCCTGTATTTGCATATAGGATTGTTTTTTGCTTTATGATATGTGGTACACGGTTCAACAGCGATAATTGAGGCCTTTCTCTATTTGTTTTGTTTTTGTTTTACTTTAGAGTAATTGTTAGTGTACAGCCTATATGCCACTGGATTTCTAGTCAGTTTAACTGGTCCTCTTGCTTGTACTGCTCGATTTTCTCAATATTATCAAGAATTACTTAACAGCAATTCTTAATGAGATGCCTTGCAAGACCAAACATGACCCTCAAACCTTTTCACATGTTGAGACAAACAAAGCTAGTTTAAACAAGTTTAAACTAGCGATCCGATCTAGGCCCGCTAGCTGGAAGTAAGGACTTTTCTCCACAAAAGTACAATCCCCTGACAATAGGCTCTTAAAAAGAGAACATGAAAGGTCATGGGTTATCCGTCAAATTGCATTGGTCTGTCATCAGATTACTTAAACATCACAGATGTTTGCCACATGGTTTCATTTTAGGTCCAACTCTCTTTTCAATCTATGTAAACAACATGGGTAAAAATAGTCTCCACCTCTTCCTGAAGGCCATGCTGTAAGCTGTCCTTCCTTCCTTCCTTCCTTCCTTCCTTCCTTCCTTCCTTCCTTCCTTCCTTCCTTCCTTCCTTCCTTCCTTCCTTCCTTCCTTCCTTCCTTCCTTCCTTCCTTCCTTCCTTCCTTCGTTTGTTCATTCCTTCATTCCTTCCTTCGTTCGTTCGTTCGTTCCTTCCTTCCTTCCTTCCTTCCTTCGTTTGTTCATTCCTTCATTCCTTCCTTCCTTCCTTCCTTCGTTTGTTCATTCCTTCCTTCCTTCCTTCCTTCCTTCCTTCCTTCGTTTGTTCCTTCCATCGTTTGTTCCTTCCATCGTTTGTTCATTCCTTCGTTTGTTCATTTCTTTGTTTGTTCCTTCCTTCCTTCCTTCCTTC